CGCGAATAAACCTTGCAAGTGGTCGTTATGCAGTATTCACCACAACGAAAATAACGCCGAGAGGAAGAAAATTTAGCGCAACCAATCGGAGGGCGTGCGTGAATTCAGCTTCCTCACGTACAGTCTCGTTCATCCGTGATTTGTCTTTCTTTCAGCTTCGTATAATCTTGAATCCTGTAGAATATAAACTCATTCTGTCCTACATTCTTTTCGAGTGATGTGCGCTGTACCAGCCCGGACTAAGTTGGTATTACAGAAGTACGATGTTACATAAAAAAATTTCTGTTGAGTTTACAACCCATTAAAATCATCGTATGAATAGGAAAATGTGCTTTAGACAGACAAACCATGCACACCTGTTTTTAGTATGATGAAAAAATAATTCGGCTATGAAGATACTACTATTGAACAAATAAAACTGTCCCATTTGGCTAACTATTACACTAATTAAAAATGACGGATGATGTTTTTTCTCTAAGATGGATTCGTCAAGGAAATTCGATGGGTTAATGGTAAGTTAAAAGCTTTATCTGCTTCTTTTATGTTAGGAATCAATAATACTGCCTGAGCAACGAATCTATGTGATCGCGAACTGAGTCGAAAGAGGTTGTTGGAAAATTCTAACGTCAACGCTTAACGCACAGTAACAACAATAATATTAAACAGTTAATAATCCATAGCTGTTCCGGATCATTTCGAAAAATTTGGGCATTGTGATCACGGTAACAATAGAATCAGGTTTGTTTTAGCCACAAAGTGAACACCAAAACACAAGATTTGTGTTTTAGTTAACACGTTGTGGCTAAAACAAACCTGATTCTATTGTAACAATAATACTAATAATAATAATTAATTGAGCCAATGGCTGTCATTCTGTGAGCATTTTCCCACTATATGATATGTAAGAGCATGACTAGGAATATCGGAAAACAATTGTTTACTCACCAACTCGTTTCCTCAATAATAATGATAGTTTTCAGTGATTCGTATTCATGCCAAATACATCACAATAAATATTACGCTGTTTTAATAATGATAGTAATAATAATAATAACAGCGATAATAATCTTTTACTTCTTATTATTGAATACAAAAATGTGAAACTTTTAGGTAGAGGCTACAACCATTGAACTCTATCTGGAGACGCAGAGGGAAAATTTGATCTATGGGGGTTGGGATTCGAACACCCGTCCTCCGGGTTGATCAGTCGGTGAACTTTAACCTCTTGACAACCACTGCTCAGGCGTGTAAGAAACTGGACCAGTTAAGCCAGTGCGGTGAACGCTAATCGGGCCGGATATTTGGCTTATCCGGGTTGACTTTCAACGTTTTTTCTGGTCAGTGTTGCGTGACGTACTGGTAATCCATCGCTGTCGTGTAATATCTCATTTGTTAGGAACCGATTTCCTGATCGAGCAATTCGAACCACAGCCCGGCTATGGTTGATAAAAACTCAGCGTTAACCGAGCTTGGCGTTGATCAGGTAAACTCGGAGAATGGCTTTTGCGAAAATAATGCAGTTGCGATACACTTCCAATATTTTTTCGTCGATCAATGCTTCGGTTAGGTGAATTCATTTTTGTTAAACTCTTGAAATATTTGATTATTTCAGAGTTGTTGTCATTTTTGTTGTTGCTGCATTTTTATAATTCTTATCAGCCGTAGTTTGTCACTTTTTGGAAGATGATTATCTAACCTGCATAATACCTCTGGTCAGTTTCCATAACCCAAAGGAATTCTATTTACAACAAGGAGCTATGAGTTAACACCATGCTGATTCGGATCTCCTATGTTTGAATCCCACCATCACCACACGGATTCACAATTTTTATATGTCCTAGGTAGTCTTTTGATTGTCCACATCCTCCTCCTGAAAACTGGCTATACTATTATTTTTGGATATATTCCACGTATTGTCTATTCGGCATAGGAAAGTGATAGATTTTATCATCACTCATTGTGTCCATCATTTGATTTACTGCAGCATTTTAGACATTAATGGCATTTTTAAATGCCATATTATTCGATACAAAACGTATTTTATGCCCGACCGCAGGTCATTTGAGGAATTTTGCGTCCACTAGTGTACATCTCTGATCACGAGAAACGCCAGTTGCACGTGATCGCATGAGACATGATATTCACGTGATCATGCAATGCTCTGTAGAAAGCGTATCGATCATTTTGAAACCAACGCATGATCAAGCAATACAAAAGTAACTGCAAATGAGTGGAGTTTCTCCTTTACACCATGAACCCCAGAAAACAGATGGTATTTAGGAAATTGAGACGTTTTCTATCTCACAGTCCCTATGGTTTTCTTTCGAACAAATTGTACAAAGTGAGAACACGTGAATCAAAACCAGATACCCGTCAAGAAAACCAACACAGTGCAATCTGTTCCAATCCAAATCAATCAACAAATAGCAGTCCACTTGTGAGTGATCAGTTGAATATGACCTGTGAAAAACTGGTCCAACTGGCCTCACAAACTGATGAACTGAGACATAAACTGTCCATAGGTGATGATGCGACCTGCAAGCAGCACATGACTCGGGTGGAACTCAAATGTCTTATCAAACTTGTACAGTACGGGCTGGTTGAAGCTGAATGTATTGTAGTGGCGAATGATTACATTCGATCAATGGAGGCTAAATTGAATCGATCTCGTCGAATGGTACGAATAATGAATGCGAGAAATCGGAGCTTGCAACGAAAGGTATTACGAAAGCATCAAGAATGGCTTGATTGGATTTGCCAGTGTGAGGTGTTTCAACGTCATTTGGATACTTGGCGTTTTGCCTTGTCATTGTATGATTCCAACTACTCCTGTCTAACACACATGATGGCTGATTCAGTGATCGAGCTAAACAAACAGAACAAATCGGAATCGGATGTTCCAACCAATATGAGCAGTTTGCCATGGATTTGGTTGGTCGGAAGTAAAATGGAATTCTGGTCTCGAGTAAATGAACTGTTGGAATTAGGACAATTATATCGGGCCGTACAGATCACCATGGATGCGTTTCAATTAAGAAAACTCGTACCAGCCTCACAGAGACATCGATGGTTGCCGAACTGCTTGATTGAATTGCCAAAAGCGTTGGATTATCTTTCTAGTTTGGCTTTACACTGCTATCGTGAAGAGGCTATTCGATTGGGATTGAACTGTGCCAACCACGCAGTTCGATTACTGCTGAGTATGAATCCTAATCGAGTGTCAAAGTGTCTCGGAAGAAAACAAATCACACCGTTTCACTTNACTTTGTCTTATATATCCAAGAACAGCTCACAACTGCTCAGATTCATGAGACAGAATGGGCTGTCTTGTTGGAGTGTGGCCGTAAGCTGATTCAGGTGTTCTGGCTCACAAAGCGTTATCAGGAGGCAGCCGTGGTTCTCTTCGGGATCCTGGGAGCTCGACGAGCGCTGACTGACGATGCGGAAAAATCTGAGACGTGGAAAAGATGCTCACAATTAGCCTGTCTCCTCACTGGTGGGTTGTGTCTTTTCTCTAGTCAGACGAATCAGTTAGCTCTCCTGAGTTTCTATCGGGAAGATCAAATTACTTTGTTTCTGACGGAACTGGCCGTAACCTGGTTGGAAACTGCTTTAGCAATACATCTGAGCCGTTACAAAGATGTAGTCGACAATAGGTCGATGGATTTAACTCATGGACCGTCATTTTATCTATGGTCTTGTGCAACCGCTTGTCTAGGTCGTCAGTGTTCAAATATCGGTGCAGTCTACGATGTGTTTCTGCTAGCCACACGTGTGCTCAGTATCCTTGCTCAGATTGAACCGTGGCAAACCGAATGTGCTGAGTCTCTAACACAAGTTATCACAATTGCCCTAACGGCTGAATCAGAATCATCGGATTCACCATCAGCGGAGATTCAAGATCATGCACAGGACATTCTGGAACATAACGGTTGTCAACCCATGAGCTTAGATCTGTACCTTCAGAAAGTGCAATACACAGAGCTAATTGAACCGGTGGAATCGTTAATGCAAGAAGTGATCCTTGTTTGTCGGGGACAACAGTGGGAAACTGCAGCTACTTTATTGGAGTGGTGGATTACCGGATGTCAACTGCGTCGACAAAGAGCGGCTGTACAAAATCGACGCAATAAGCCAAATCACGGGGGTGAAACTTACTGCGCGAAAAACATACCAAACGAGACAAAACTAGAAACAGATTCTAAGGCACCAACAAGTCAGAACCGAAACATGCCTATTCCGTTGGCAAAGTTAAAGTTCCGTACCATTCATGTTCGATTTTTGCATTTTCTCATGCAACTACACACTTCCAATAGATTCACCTCGGACGGGTTGTTTAATACAAACATATCACAGCTAAACGTGGGCAAACACAGGGATTGTAGCCCCGATGAAGTATACTGCAATTTAACCGGTGAGGAACAAGACGCTCGAGTCACCTGCTTTGTGCCGGGATTCAAACAATTGATGCCTGGAACCTTCAAGCTGCTTGGACAACTGGCTGCGCGAAGAACAAAATTGAATGCCGGTGCATGCCTGTCCGATGGTTGGTTTATTTTAACAACTAATCGAAAACTTTGGGCTTGGTGGAAGCTCACATTTTTCAACGAGCGACGTAGTGATACAAGTCAACGACAACAATTCGTGAGTCCGTTCCTCGACAGAAATTCGATGATCCACATATGGGATGAAAGTGTCCGGTTAGTTCAAAATGAGTTAAGATGCATCATTTCCGGAAAGAAAGGTAGTCATCCACAAGAAAGTAATAGTTCAGTGGGCAGACCATTGAAATTACCAACGCGACTACAAATCCGGCCGTTTCCTGTGACTCAAGATTTAGTACATCTGATATGTGCAAATCTGACTTCTTCGGAAATCGATAAACCTGCTTTGGATGAACAATCCCGTATTGCGATAAAACCAGACACAAAAGTGTCAACAGAAGAAATAAAACCGGAAGCTGAGAAACAATTAAGCCCAAACACATCTGTGGATCGAAACTCACTTAACCCGGTATCAATCAAGGAGAAAATTCGTTCAGTTCTCACTGGTCGTCTTGGGTANGTTCTCACTGGTCGTCTTGGGTACTGGATTACTTTTCGTTGGAAATCAGGCTTGGTCCATGAGCTCCTATGCAAGAGTCCAGGAAGAAGTCCTGGTACGGAAGCGTGAAAACTATTATTTTACTTGTAAATATACACAATAGAAATTTCGCTCAACCGAATTTCAGTTTACATACCTCGTGCGGTGCTCATCTGAGTCAGTTATAATTGTGAGCTCGGTTATAATAGATACTGCTCGTACGCCACTTCCAGTTTCAAATAGAAAAAGCAGTCTATTGCTTTCCTCTTCCGCAGAAAGCATAAGACACTGCCATCAATAATATTTTCTCGGCATGTGATGCTACCTAAGGCAGATTGTGAATAGAAGAAAGCTGGCAGTAGACAGAATGAGACCTGGCATAGGTGTATGGCAAACCTGACCAGGACTCTCGGCCACGGGCTCCCGGTTGTATCATGGTATTACTGTGCATAGATAAAGCGAAGCAGTTTGCTCCCTTTCTCAATGGTCCGGTGGCCATTAAGTTTGCGCTTTACTTGGGACATTAATGATTTGATATCAAATCCGTTCGATAGGTCCACCAAGCCTCTGGAAAATTTCTTTAATTAGTCGAATTATTCACTACTCCCTCATATGCAAAATCATGGGGTCTTTTTACCACTTGGGCAATTCTGAATAATTTATAAGACGTGAAAGGTAAACAGAAACTCACTAGAATCAGTTTTTAAAATGTTTAGTTAACCCTCACCAGATATCGTTTTGTTTTTTCTGGTTCATTCTGCTCCTGAGCCAAATCTAGCTCACAGAGATGACACATGTATGACAGATGCAGAGAGAGTAGTCGCACGAGGTAATCATACAGAAGGCTGCGGTTTGGAATGCGAGTTAATTTCACGACTGCTTCGAAAATTCGCACGAAAATCTTTTCTGGAATTTATACCCTAAGTAGAGGACGTGGAAACGAAGATAAATCAACACCGCAGTCGAAATTAGGGAGGGAGAGAACGACCAATAATACATTCCTTTCAGATGAAATAAACTATTACCATATGCTTCTTTTGTGTATTCATTAAAACACGGTATGCACTAAATATCTTACAGCGAACATTTGATCGGATACTGCTACGTGCTGAAATTTTAGTTTTGAATAGAAACCATATTTCGTGCTTTTTCTGAGCTGCTCCTCCACCCTATGAGACCACTCAAGTGGAGGGAACAAATTTAGCCAATTTTCTTTACAGGGGAGCACTGCATTAAGTTTTCTTTGTTCAGCTGACGATTTTTTGCGGTTAGTTTTCTGAAAGATGAAGGCGGAGAATCAAGGGGCTATCAGGGGATAAAAGAGAGATAAGAAAATGCGGCGGTTTTGGGTGGATTCAAAAACAGCACCTCACACACACTGTGCTTGATGTTGCATTTGACCGGGTTGGGATCGCCAACTTGGCCCCTTGATCGTAAGACTTTTTAAGGTTCACAAAGAATGGCTATCAAGATGGTCGAGGGACTGTATTCCAAGATTTATGTGGAAAGACTGGAACCATTGTGATTATACTCCACCCAGTAGCACCGAATTCGGCGGGACTGGATTTTGGTGTATCTAATAATGCAGAACCCGGATCAAGTATGTCGTTCACTGTTCGCCTTGTCGCCCAGCACTCACCTAAGGTGGCACTCAATCAAACTGATGCTCCAAAACTATCGACTAGAATACCGGCGTTGTTCATTTGTCCTCATGGTGTTCAGTATTTGGAATTCCCCACTACCTCACGTTGTTTCTGTGTCCACAACTGACTGTTTCAAGCACAAACTGGATAAAACATTGTCATGTCTTAAATTTCGACATCCGTAGCAGTACACGAAACAATGAAGAGTTTGACATCCCTCAACTCTCTTTGATCAGTAAATCAATCCAGTTGCGCGAAAAACCCTATGGGACAAGAAAAGCAACCGCTTGTACGTGTTTCCCAAAATAAAAATTTTAAACTTTAACTCCACCACACACACAGAAACACATTTCTTAATACGAACGCATGAGAAATATAGTCTTGTGGAAACTGCATCTCCTAGCTCCTGTCTGCCGTTATCTTGGAGAGTTGAATCACCTCACTTATTGAACAATGAACTGTAAAATTATTTTGGACCAAAATTTACGGCCAGTCAAACGCCATCTGACGAGACACAAAGTTGGAAAAGTTATGGTATGCTCTTTTACATCTTGGTCGGTATATTGTTCACTTCCAATGTACTGCGCCAAATTTGACTTCTATTTCTATTACATTGAAATATTGCAATAATAGCTTCTCAATATCTCAGTTAGAATTATGCGCACTCAGAATCACGTTGTACACATAAAAGTGAAGAAAAAAAGAGAAATTATAATCCTCATGGTTATAGACCAATACTGGAGTCAATCATATTCTTCATCCTCGCTCAAGAAAGCGAGATGGTGAAAAGTGGAACTTTACACGTTTATAAGGTAGGGATGTCACCCATTCCGTGTGTTATGATTACCGCATCCGTTTGATTGTGAAAACCTTTCCGGTGACCGATTTGAACGAGTATCGTAAGGCGTTATGCGGTGTGCACCGTTCATGGTTTTGTTTACATAACAATCATGCCTCATGTGATTACGAACAAAAACAGGTGGTATTATCACTTGGTCGAATCAATACCAACCTACGAAAATTGGAGTTGGTTATAAATTGGCCACCGTAACACACGGCATTTAAATGTCTCGAATACGGTTATCAGTGCTAACAGTGTTCAGTGTTATCGTCATTCTATGTTTATTGACGGATTCNAGACCGAAACGTGTTCACGAGTTAAAGCACTCTTCCAATAGACGAAATCGAGATCGAGGTAGCTCTCGTGGAGATCGCACGCATCACGGCAAACGTAACTCGCTCAAGGACGATGAAGACGACGACGACGACAAGGATGATGATGGTAAATGGCGTTTTATGCATGTAGCAGCTTCTGATACTTCTCGTCTATCTGGGACTGTCATTCTGCTTGTGGGAACCAGCTGGTTGATCGTGCGCCCATGAAAATATTCTATGGACAGATTGCTTATTAGTGTGTGTAGACATCACACAGTTCAATATATAACTGATTCTAGCGTTTCAAAAGACGTCTTCTGGCATCTTTTTGGGGTCATCAGGGACTGGAAAGTGCTTCTGAAAATACTAAACGTTCTTCGCTAGTGATTGAATAAAACTGGTTTACTGTATCCGTTAGAGCTTGTTGTGGTTGAAACAATTGAAACACCAGAAACTATTTTATGGTCCTGTCTCGGTTTCACTTCTTGTGAGTTCGTTGACTGTACACACGATAATGCAACGGACGTTGATTTGTGCTGGCCAACTTGGAGATTTCACCGTTGGTTAACCGACACTAACTCGCTCTCATCGGGCCGCACGCATTTGCTAGGGCTTTCTTTCGACTTCACAGATGTCAATAAAACCATTGTTTTTTTAATCTACCTGTAAACGCCAAGTTTCGCCTTGTGAACCGATTTCAAATAACCATAGGTAGGCCATCCTAATTCAGTGACTCGTTGATCCTTTTCGACTGGGGTATGCTCAGATATAACAAACAGCATCTGTTTCATCTCTGTAGAAATACATTCTTGTTAGAACTTCAACCACCGAACTCTGGGTTGGGTGCGAAACTCGCACACGTGTTCAGCTTAACACAAATTGAGAATTTCATGTTTGATTAATCCAATCGATTATACACAAACATTAGACAGTATTGATGGTCTTGGGTGTGGGTTTTACTCCTTTGAAGACTATTATTTCCTCATCAGTTAAATGCATTGGAAATATCTGTGATACCTAATACCTGTGAAAAATCAGATGGGCTTATCGAAACACGATACTCTGAAATCATTGAGTCATTCACACACGGTGGTTGATGATCGTCGACTGTGTACCTCAATGTTAAATGTTTCGACTACCAGTCCGAAGATAGACATTTCGAGTCTTGACAAGGACTTAAAAAGCACGCACTGTGGTTAATTTTCATACAGGACAAAACTGCTGTCCAGTGCTTTCTGACGAACAGGTAGTATTTGTGCACTTCTTAAGAGCCCCATCAGGGAAGAACAAGTTCTTTCGGCCTCTTTATTTACCTTCGCACATTTATCCGGAGATAGTTTACCAAAACGGCCCGAGCAACTGCGTGCAGATTCTTTGCAGATTTTATGAAAATGAAATTCATAATAAAAACATCCTTCCTAGGGGTCGAGTAACAAGCAAATCCGGAAAACGAGATTGTCATGAACTGTCTTACTGATGTGAGCAACGAATGGTGAATATAAAATAGACACAAACCTCAAATCGTGAGGCGAATCGGGGATTGCGTGCTTGCACTGCCAATAAATAATCAGATGATAGTGCGTCAAGATAAAAGCGATGTTCTGCTGTGACAAAAGGGGCGTCCACTGATTATCAAAGCGTTCGACACAATGACTGCGGGTGCGTGTAGCTCAATGGAGGTCAATGGTCAGAATGACCAGGGATGACAAACACACAAGTACAATGGCTGACACTCAGCCGGTCAAATGTACGGGATCAAAAAACAAATTACATGAGGGACGGAAACAAGGAACGTGCGTGCACATGTGTACAATATGTGTCTACCGACCGGTGGACTGACGGATACCAAATGTATCACAAAATAGGGTGCACTGAGGAGTGCCGGTGACTTAAAAGGCGAAGATACAACGGGTCATGGATGGAAAGAAAACAGTCGGTCCGATCAACAGACTAGTTGAACCAACTTAAGCGTAAGAAAAAAAGGAAATTACTAAATTTGAACTTAGAAGTCAGAATTATGGGTTGTCACAATGTACCCATGGTGATTTCGCTGCATCTGTACACGTGCATACTGCAATCAAAGTGATTTGTATATTCAATGGGATAATAACTGTAAGACGAAGACAATATCGCTAATCAAAACGGACGGCACGACACAACAACGCAAAAAAACGGGGCAAGAGAGGGTAGGGAGTCAATCAGCAAGACAAAACTAGATCGGGTTTGAGAGTATGAATGACCAGAACCTCGGCAAATTTCAGTAATTTTATGTTTGTTGTGTTGTAGATAACCTGGAGCTTACTTGAATCAAGAAGCAACAGAGGACCTCTGTGAAAATGTGTATGTCTGGGTATAAATACAGCGAGTCTGTTTGGAAATCTAAACGGACTCACCACAGCACGTAGCGTCACTTTAGATCCGCTGAATAAAAACACATCTTTAGAGAATCAGATTTTCAAATCTTGAACGGATAGGCTGAGGAAAGTGTTTTGGTGCTTACAAGATGGGGAGAGAAATAATTGTTTGGATTAATATTGATTGGGAAAAATGAAAAATTTGGTCAGTACACTTAGAAAGTCTTTTTCAGTAAATTACTGTTTGAATACTAGACAATTTGCCAAACGATCATGCCAGTTTGTTGCCACGTCTGGCCGTTTTGAAGAAAAATAGATTGTATGCAAGCTCATGATTTTTGTTTGGGAGTGAGGCCGTTTGGAGAGCTAGGGTTGTGTGTGTGTCCGTGTGTGTGGTGACAGGCCAGGGGTTTCGATGCCCGCTTAGTAGATTTGCAGTTACGGTCCCCGAAGGGATGTGAAAATTGGACGTAAGGCTCAAGGTACCTAACAAGGACAAATTATTTGAAAGTAGTGGAGGATTTGGTTTGGCCATACAGTAAATTTCGTCGTGTACAGAGCAAAAGAAGCGTAATGTATCTTTTAGTCATGTTCGAATGCTTCCAGTCGAGTTGTAACTTTGGAAGCTAATGCTAAGCTGCGCAAGGCGCAATGCCTGAATTAAGCTCCAAATGATGGGTTGCGCTATGTCATGTATAAATAAGAGAAAGAACGATCTAATCACCTACCCGGTGACCAAGTGAGTGGTTTTACGTTTTACCGGACTGGGATTCCGCGTTGTGTCAATGGATTAGCATTGCTGACGAGACCCAACCAGGTCGAAACAGCTGTCCAGTGCGTCCTAGCCTTTTCGCTTCACACTTCATTTTCACTGTACAAAAAAAATTTAACATAAGGATATATATTTATTTATTTAACACCGACTTGAGAACAAGCATGGTGCCAAGGCCACAACAATATCAACAATAACAATAACGCGGGGGGAAGGGGAGGTTGGGATATAGAGTATAGGGGAAAAGACGTAACTATCAGAACAGAAGATTACAAATGAATGGAATAACAATC